CACCTGTCTCTCAAACCGAGACACTCATGCTCTTCCAAACTGCAGATACAGGAGTATCCTGACCACTGAACAACAAACAGGAGCCCAAAGCAGCAATTAGCAGACACATAGGGAACTTTTGCATGAGATGTGAACATAACCTGAAAATAAAGATTGATACAGGATTTCTTTTTTGGGGGGGAAAAAGCTATTATGTCCTCTGAGCCAAACAGATTAAGGACATTGAGATACTCAGTCCTCTCCCCTCAGCTTGTTTCAGTGGAAATAACCAAAAGCCCTTTGATGTGATGATCAAAGAATGAAGAAATACAAGTCTAGAAGAGATTCAGACACTGCACATGCTTCAGGCCCAAGCAACATCAGCTATATCCACATCACACCCAGCAGATGCCTGCTTAAGTTGTTTGGGAGCTGCTGGAATCCTGGCTTGGTCCTCTTCCCAAACCAAGTTACACCAGTGAAGATGAGTAGAATTTTTTAGTGATAAGGATAGTAATATCCAATGTCTATGACTCCTTCTGTAATTCAAACTTACTATTTCTTATTCTACCCATGGATCTGTGGGAGACAGATTATGTCATTCCCTTCCACAAAAGATTTAATGCTTCAGGATACATCCATGGTCATTTACTCTCCTTTTTAAGTAACCCTTTAAGCAACTCTTTCCGACTGTCCCCAGACATCTGACTGTTCTTGCTGCTCTTCCCTAGGCTTCTTCCACTGGTCTAGGTGTGTACTTGGGGTTTTTTTAAGAGCATGGTACCCAGTCAAATGCTATACCCTATATAAGTCTTCCTTATACTAAAAAATAGTCACTCTGCATGGACTTCTCAGGATGGCACACTTCTTTCTTGCTGCTATGATAATGAGGACTAGCTCAGCCTGCTGTCCCCATAACACCTAGATCATCCTGCAACTGCCCATTGCTCTTCTGCACAGCATAAAGCAAGATGTCCTCCAGTCTCACTGCACTCGGACACCTGATTTCACTCCTCCTTCTCTTGTCATCATGAAGTGAGACAATGCAACTTGCTATTATGTTGCCAAACTTACAAGTGCAGAAAATCTGTAGCAGGTAATAACACTCATGAAAAAAAGCAGCACTGAGCTCTTTTTTTTCACCTATCTATATTTTACACCCCAAATATTTTCATTCTCTGCGCAGCCTTTGATTAAGAGGTGGGAAAAGCTAATGCTGCTTTAAGCAAACTTCCTTACTAATTAATCTGCCCAGAACATCTCACCTAGACTTCTACCGGGGCAGGTGAGAAGATGGACGGAGAGAACTACAGCCCTTGTGTAGGAAGAGAGCAAACTGCATGATTATTATGAAAAACTCTGCCTGTGAAAATACATTTGGTACCCTAACTAGCAGCATATGCCAGGTATATAAAAGAGTATCACCTGGGGCTCCTGGAGGTGATTTGCCACCTGTAGTGGTTTTAGGTGTTATGGTTTAACCCCAGCCTACAGCTAAGTGCCATGCAGGACATTAGGTTGGGAAATTAATGAATGAAGAACAAAAGGTAATCCTGGGCTTTCTAACATCATAGTAAAATGGAGATGAGCTCAATACACAGCCCAGCAATCAGAGTGATTCTGCAATGGAGACATCTATGAAAGCTCTAAACAGAGTCCATACAGACATTGGTATAAACAGGTTTGACTCCTGACACCCAATCAGTGCGTTCAACAATGGAAGCACTGAGTTCCTGCAAACCACACACTCCTCTACCAGTAGGACACAAAACAAGTATTCTGGTTTTCCTAACTGTCTAAAAGAGTAAAAGATACATTCATGTAGGAAAAAAATGCAAAACGGTGCATAGCTGAACCTTGTATAGCATTACAAGATTAATGCTAACCATTCTCAATGCAAGGATTGAGGGATTCTTTTAAAAATCTTCTCATTAACCTGTCCCCAACAAAGTAGATACCAACATCTGGATTTTGAAGACAAGACAAGAAACCCAGAGTAACAAAGACACTAAATAACATGACTAAATCAGAATAAACCACAAACCTACATAGTCTGGTGTGGCAACATTTTATAAAAGCAACAGTCTCGATTCCCTGCATGGGAGACACATGTCAAAACAACACTTTGATTTCCCTCAAACTGTAATGTCAGTACACCCATTGTCAAAAGATATTACACCAATTATTTCAGAATACTGAAAATATTCAGTAGTTCCTAAAAATGGCACTAAATATGTTATAACATAGAAGATGTTTTTTCTTGATGCTTTTTCCTTTTCTCTAGTATCTGGCAGAAGGCAAAAGGTACAATTTTTTCCCCAGTTGTTTTCAGAACTTTCTAACATGCCAAAATGCTTTTTTTCAGTTCAGCACACATGATGTCCACCTGATTGTATTTGAACAATCATTCCTATTTCACAGCCCTGATGGCACACAACTGACCACAGAACTATACTTTCAGATGCAGTGTATTCTGTGTAGGAGTGTGATCAGCAGGATAACCAGTAGTGTAACCCTACACACAGCAGAATCTTTGTAAGCATACTACAAAATCATTACAAATTCGTGAGTATTACTATTTAAAAAAGAAAAACCTGGAACCTCTAGGTTAGCTCTGGTCTTAAACCTTGATTTTGTTCTAGGTTTCATCTTTAGGTGTGACAGTTGCAAAATATTTTTTGAAACTAACACCAGCACAAACAATGTGGTAAAACCTGCGTCCACCTACAGAGGGTACAACAACATACCCACAAAATGTTCCACAGAGCTGAACTAACTAAATTCCAGAGTAAAATAATCAGTGTTTAGAAGAAGTAATCAGATCACACCCAGCTTTATGTACTTCCCAGTTGACCCAAGGATAACAAATGTGTATCATACTATTGCATGATGGATTAATTAATTTTTGTTACTAGAAGCAGTCCAAAATAACCACTCATTTCCTGCGTAATTGCACAACCTTAGTGTTATATTGACAGCAGCTTGTACAATATATTAACAGTCTCAACTCAGAAATCTATGGCATGTTAAAAATTCAAGACAGTATAGCATCAGATAAAAAATTTTAAGAAGTCTTAAAAGACAGCATTTATTTTCAGTTAAAATACTTATAAAGATGCACCTAAGGATATGAAAATGCACATCAGTGATTTAGATGTGTCACAAAGGTATGATTCCTACATAAGGATAAACATGTTGCCACAGACACACAAATTCCTAAGCAATAAAACCCCTCTAAAACAAACCCACAAACCTGCATGGTACTGCACAATTTAGTTTCCTGACAAAAAAACCTTAGAACATGGGGCTGTTTACCCTTTTGTGCCCCATTGCACTCACCAGTCTTGAAAATAATGAAATATTTACTGCTCCTTCTAGGGCAATTTTTTCCACATTGATATGAAAACAAGTTTTTCTACCTCATTAATTTCTGTGAACTAAACAAGCTACTTAACCCTAGAAACATCACTTTGACATTCCGGAAGAAGCCCTTTACTGAGGTTTGTAAAGATGCAACAAACATCAGATAAGCATGAGCAAACTAAAAAATCCAAAATAAAACTAAACAAAACCTGTGCCTCAAAATAAGGAAAATCTTAAAAACCAGCACAGTCTAATAGTGAAAGGATAAAAACTACAGTTACATAAATAACAGTTACTATGCAGACAACCAGGCATGAACATCCTAGTGCTGGAGATTCTAATGTCACTTCTAATAAACAATGCCATTCAGCTCTCAGCAAATAAGAGAGAAAAAAGCATTAACTGCATTAAACATAATTATAAGGCTGGCAGAGTCTGAAACAAAATTGACTACCTAGACAATCTACCCATGCCTTTCTCAAACATTCTAGTGAGAGACAGTTTAGGAGTTCACATAATCCATCTCAGCCTTGGCACAGAACATCTTCACAGGAGTAATAAAAACTGGCATTTGCCCATGCTCAGTGTACTCAAACACCTCTTCCTTCTTATCATCTTTCACTGCTTTGTGGCTGAAGTGCTATTCCTATTCCTCAAGAACCACAGAGAGATCCTTTGTACCTGCACACACTGTTACTTTATTTGGTGTGAGTTAACTAGGAAGACAAAAAAAGTAGTAACAGCTGTGTGGCCACAGACCTTCTGGAACTCAAGGTTGTACAGAATTATTACTGAAATGCAAGAACAGAAAATAAAATCTGAATAAAAATTATGGCCAAATAGCAGTTGACATCTAGAGTATCCTGTCCCTTTTCTGTTCATTATCTTATAGAGAATCAATTTATACAAATTGAAACAATTATGCTGTTAATGGCTGTGGATTAAGGAATGCTGCTCCAACACTGCCTTAAGTTCTTTAGGCTCCTGCCTAGAATGGAAAATCAAAACAATTTTACTTCTGGTGGCTCCAGTGTTATTGTAGGCTTTGCCAAACCATTAACAGGGAATCACAGCTAATAATGAGAATTAGAAGACTGGCTTGATCTGCTCCATCTGGCTGGCAAAACACTCTTCCCATTCCAAACAGCAGTGAGGGCATCTGCCAGGACAGGGAGCAATGGAACATTACAAATGCAGTTCAACATTAAAAGTAACCACTCTGAAACCTTCTGGTCATATATAAGATAGCTGTGTCCATGGAAACATTTTTTTTTAATCTTCTGCTTTTTAATACAAGAAAATATACACAACTGCTATCTGTCCACATTATAAAGCTAAATGGTTTACCATTCTGGGGGCACCATGCTGCCATCCACTTCCCAAAACGTATTTTTGCCGTTCATCTCCTCAGTATATATGACCCATCTGTGTCGACCTTAAGCAAACAAACAGAAATACTGTATTAGCTCAGAAAAAGACATGATTTTCATAAAAAGGAAAGGATTCATGAAAACCAAGGAAAAACATTTTGAGTAACAGTATCTACCATTATGGGCACTTATTTTAAAGTCACTACAGCTTTTAGTTTTCCAAGTCTTCTGTATTTCCACTGTTACTGTATGTTTATATGACTAAATCTAATGCCCTCACAAGGAAGCAAATATTAGCTACTGTAATTAAGTAACAGGAAATAGGAACTTACAACTTTTCAGGTGGAGAAACAGGTTTGGGAATTGTTTTCTCCATTAGGTGGGAGTCCTTTCCAAAAGGACATTGCCATTGACAAAGCAAGATTAAACCAAACTTCAGACTACCAAGCAATGCTAATCAGCAAGTGCTTTCCCCAGTTACCCTACAAGCTAACCTACAGTCAGCAGCTGGCTTGGCCTAACCAGTGTGTCAATTGCTTATGTGTGACCTGTGTTTCTTTAGGTGCTAACTTTTTAAGTACTCTACAAACATTATTTAAAGTCCCGTTAGTTAAGGTAGTAAGAAGTTTAAGCTAACCTGTGTTTCTTTGCCCTGCAGTGATCATGTAAGTAAGTACAGCTGTGAGGCAGTTTTAAAGGCAGTTCTCTTTCTTCCCTCACCTGTTAAGCTATCAGCTTTTAGGTCAAGGATCACATTCAGCTCTCAATCACATTACCATATAGCTATACCTATATGGTGAACATCCGACTGGCTCATATTTATACCATATTTATTGTTTCAGATTGACTGCGTTTGCAAATGAATTGAGGGGAAACAGAAGATGACAAAGCATTTCTATGAGTCCCTTGTCTAAGACTCACACAAGTCAAGTGCAAGGAAGTCAGGCAGGCAACAAGTTCTATTTCAGTAGCAGAAACTACACAAGCTCTAGAAACGCTGGACAGTGCATCAGGAGGTGCTCACATTAGTGCACATACCAAAGAAGTTTCTCGTGTCTTCGTAGTATTTGTTTCCATATTTGTCGATTCCTACCAGATTACCAGTCTTCAAATCATTGACCCTGTGAATTACCAGAACAAGTTTCAGTTCACATCATCTCAGAATGAAGTTGTGACAGAGGTTTCTCAGGGGTTGGTAAAAATCTGTAATGAAAACTCTTTAGCACATATATGTAAAGATACTAAAAAAACTATTCAAGCTTAAGGATTGCAAAAAATAATCACCAATTCCTGCAACTAATGTGCCCCCCACTGACAGGGTAATAGAAGTCTTGCAAAAAGGTTTTTGGAGACTATTATCTATTTAAAAGCTCTTTACAGTGGAAGATAAAGCAACTCTGCAATATAACAATTTAACACCCACAAACCCTAAATACTGTGGAAGGGAGTCCCAGACCTACATTAATTCATTTAGCTGAAGAGGTTACCATCCTTCTCAACTATTCACAGCTATCATTTCACACTGAATTGCCATGGAAAGTGGTCAGCACTGGAGCATCTTAAGAGATCTCATACCTCTGTGTGGGCACTAACCTCCCAGAGAGGAATACAAATATTTTAAGCCATTGTAGTTGCTTGTCAAGGAAACACATGCTAAGCCATAAACAGAAACTGTTACTTTCTAGCTTTTGTGCAATTGTGAAAGATACAGATATCCTGCAACTCCAGGAGCCTTACACTGACTCAGATAAGGTATATACCATTTTCAACTCTTTATACAGCACATATTTTAACATTACTGTACATATCAATAATTAAACTGAACCTGTGATTTACATTCCAATGATAAAACCTTAAAATTACTGAAGTGCTCTTCTCCCCCTAGATCTGCATATTTGCTTTCCTTATTACTGATGTTCATCCCAGGCAGAATTATATAAGGAAAAGTTTGCTCTCAAAGGTTTTAGTTGCTTGCAGTATTGCACACACTCTTAATGCAGTCCCAAAGGAGAGAAGGGATGTGCATGTTTCCTTAGTGGGGACTGTAACTAGATAATTCACAGATCAAGGTTTTTTGTTGTCTTTTTTCTCAGGGTGCATGAAAACAACAATCATTCCACTAAGTATTCATTTCAAACCTCTGTGGTCCGGGGCAGAAAGATTCTCTGACACATCTCTGTCAAAGAAACACTCAAAGATCTCTGGCTCAGCTATACAAGCCTGAGTTTCAGCTTCAGAAAAGGAAGAGCTATTTCACTGCAGCCCTCCCTTCCTTCTTCCCCTCCCTTTCTTTTAGGAGTTCTTACGCCCTTGTTCTGACTTCATGGCCTGAATACTGAAATCAGACACTGAGAGGTATTTATGGCTTCCAGAGGACATCTTCCAGCCACACAAGCTCTTAGCAATTCGACTTGTACTGCATGTAAGCCTGATGTAGCTGCCTCAGTGGAAAACATACAGAAAAAAGACAGGAAATTCAAAGAAAGCCTCCTGATTTGGGTAAATAATTTTCCCAAGTTACCAGTAATTACTTCTTAAACACATCATTTGTTGCAAGAAAGAACACCTTGATTACTCCTTCCTTTAAGCACCAAGTCTATTCCTTGAGCTGGGACAGATGATATGATGGCTTGAAAGGTGAAGAGGCGGCAGCAGCTATGCTTGTGGTTGGTACAGTTATGAGGATCAGGTGATCCTCCAGCTAGCCCACCTAACTTCAGTCTTCTGAAGGAAAGAAAGGAGAACACTGCCTCCAGTCTTGTCTGCTCTCTTCTATGTGGTAGAAAGGTGCAAACACAGCCTGTGACCTTTGACTCACAGAAGATCCCTGACAAGACATTCACTAAGATGTGCTTGGGAAAAGGCACTCTGATGAAACCTAATACTCAAACTCTTCTACACTTCTATTTCCCCAGCACCATTTCTTCTTGAGAAAGTCTAAAGCTACAGCCTGAGCAGGAAAACAAAGTAGGGAAAACAACCTGGGGGGGAAGTGTGTGACAGAAAACAATAATAAGAGCAGTAAAATACTAGCCAGGGAAATCATATATTGCTTAACAGCTTGAAATTTCCCCCTAAAGAGTTGTGTATGAGGAAGGTCTATCTGAGTTGCTTTCTGCAGTGGAAACAGAGAAGCAACCTGTCACCACAGCTAGTAGGATTACAGAGTTGAGACCTCCCAAAAGTCAAGTTCACTTCAGAAAAGTATTGAATATTGTGCCACAAAACAGACAATAATTTAAAATGTATAATAACTGTACAGAGAGAAACACATTTACTGACAGAAAGAAGACATACGCTCAACTGAAAGAATACAGAGCAGATTGAAGGTTACCAGTGAAGTTTCACAAAGAATGTTATTACTAGCCTTATTTAACACTTTGGAGGGTTCCTGACCTAAACAAAATCCAAACAAAAATCCCATCCCCAGAAAGCACAGGGGTCTCATGAATTATATTACCATACTGAGGAAGGTCACATTATTGTACAGGAAGTTCTGTACTCTCTTCAGGGCTGTAATGATACCACCAGAATGTAATTCAGTGGTGTGAAGGCCATGGCACAAGGTGATGCACCTGGAGACCAGTATGATCTGAAGCACTGTGTGCCTAATCACAAGGAATACATCGGGATGTCACAAGGCAAACAAGACCTGACGAACAAGTGACATGCAGGGGAAAAAACCAGACAAGCTGATCCCAGGATGTACCAGGTGAACTGAGCTGTCTTCAGCAAACAGAAGAAGTACTAAAGCCACTGTATGAAAATATTGATGAGGCCTGATCAGCAACGGCATAAAATGTAATGTTCAACCGTTCAATACAGATCAACTGAACTACAAAAAATAACAGAAAGAAAGAGGGCCATTACGATGTATGGAGAAGAAAGGCTACAAGAAGGCTCATAAAGCCTGGCTTGTTTGGTCAAACATAATAAAGCCTTCCCATATGGCAGGGAACTTCATATTTGCAAATCACCCGTATCCCACACTCCTGACTTACCACTATTGATTAAAAAAAGGCTTTTTGGCATGTGGTCAGGCCTACAACACTCATTGTACATGTTCTATTACTTTTCCAGGACTAGCTGCAAAGATAACACAGGTTACTGAATGTGGACCACATACCATTTAGACTTGCACCCTACACTTCATTAAGGAGCTGAATGAAAAAAGGGTATCTTAGTAAAGCTGCAGCTCCTTCTGTTTGGAAGCAGCTTCAAACACACTGTATCATAATTCAAAATACTTGTCACAAGGTGAGAGGTGAGCGGGAGGAAAGAGGAGCAGGAGAAAGTTTAATGTGGACAAGTGCTTGGGGGGAAAAGTACACGGACACAAAGGGAAACAAAGGCTGCAACTAATTCTGTACCAAATGCCACTGGGGCCAGAGGGCACCCAAAGCTGAGCACAGGTCATTGGGGACAACGCACTGCCAAAGAGGCACATGTGACACGCAGGTTAAAGCGGTGACTCGGCAGAGCCGGTAAGGCAGATGAAGTAATTCTGCTTTACACCGCGGGGCTCGGCAGACACGCGGCTCTCAGACTCGCACAGCTCAGGAAAGCCACTGGCGGCCCGGGCTGATGCAGCGCAAAG